CCCCTCCCCCATGGCCTCGTTGGCCTTGTTTGTTTAGTAGATGCGTTTGGCGTCTCGAAGCGGGGCTCGGGTAACGATATGCAATAATGCGATGATTAAAGCCGGTAGCGTCACCGCGAGCTCAGTGTGCGGCACACCGCCGTCACGCCAACCCCCCGGCACAGGAGGACGCTAACTGACAATTTGTGCTTGACACACACCTGTAAAACACAGCGCGTGTTCTATTTACAGCATGTCGTGCACCTTTGTTTGGACATATGGAAATACGAAAAAAAAAACGTTCACTGCGCAGCTCTCTACAAACGTTATTGCCTACGCCCTCCTCCCTTTCTCTCTCTTCAACATTTTCTATCGTGACACGGACCCGCGGCGGCACCGCCTACAGGTCGCTAAACAGAGTGGTACTCCCGTTGTGTGAGTCAGACAACACCTGCCTGCTCGGAGCGAAAGGTGGTGGAGGAAAAAGGAGGGGGGTGGGGGGCAGGGTCCTAGAGGTAGTGCTCCCGCAACAACGAGGGCTTTTAAACACTGTGCCGTTTTACGGTTGGGCGGTGACCGAACACGACACTTCGAGATGCTTTTTATTGTGCTATCTACCCAAACGTACGATGTACTCTGCAAATTAAACGAATAACAAGATCACAGTTTTAACTGCAACACCACAGTCTTGTACTTTAAACTGCGAAATTGAAACGTTTTAGGAGGGTGAACATGAAAGATTTGCCGTTTAAAGATTTGCGGAGTATGATGTATCGTTCCGTTTCAATTCAAGACGTACATTACACTAGAACTTAATCGCTCATGTAATTGTTAAGTATCACAAGAGAAAAGTTTCGTTTCCCATTAAGAGTGCGTATATCCCCGTCCCCGCAGGACTATGGCCCTATAGCGCGATAAGGGTGGTTTAGCCTACTGTAACCACCGGACTTTTCCGCTCCAAGTTGGTTTCACCCACAAATTATACGACAGTGTGCCATGACACAACAACTCCACACGTGTTTGTCAGATGCATACTCTCAACTGCACCACCAAAAAAATGTTACAGTGCCTATGCCTTTGCGCAAGGACGAACGGAAGGGCCCTTCGCTGAAGCGCCCCCGTCCCGCTCCTGGAGAAAATCTGTCGGAGACAGGGGGCGCTGAAAACGGAAAAGAAAAACAATAGCAGAGCCTTCCTCTGCTCCACAGTGCTGGCCGTCGGCTTGCCGTCCTTGTCACACACAGGGAGCAGTCCAGTGCCAAGCGCACAGCGCCCATGCATTATGTATGTCAGAATAATACTCTGGCCGTTTGCTTACCTTACGATATGGGATCCAGCCGCCGTGGGCCCTCCAGTCCTCCCCGCCGCTGTCTTAGCGATTGTTTCTGATCGGGAAAAAATCCGAGCTGAGGTGTGGATCTGCGAGGTTTCACCTGTGACAGTCATGATTTTTCATCAATGTCGATCCATAAAAATTATATACATATAATACTAATACAACTGACATTTTGTTTTCTCCGCCTCGGACACGGCCACAAGTATCCCGACCGTGTTAGTGTGTTTTCGTTTCACTGTGTACATATAGCTCCCACTGTACCTGACCGGACTCCCTGAGAAAATTTCATGAAGTGTCGCGTCGGCCGGCCGGCCCCGGCCTGGCGGCAAGTACAGTATCGGAGGGGGAGTGATATATCTCCCGCAGACGCGGAATCCCGCGCTCCCAATCGAAGCCGCGCTCAGCACCAAGCACCTCGCCTCAAAGGTCGAGCGGCATTTTTTGAATCGACCGAAAAATGTCGCCGGTCGGGTCCTGGGCCCCGTAACTTACGTACCTCGCCGCCCGACGCCGCCGCCGAAGCAGCCGCAACCGTGTTCGTCTGGCCATCGAACGGGCGGGCAGGCTGGCGGGTACCCAGCACAGACTGGCTGCAAACGTACCGCATCACAACACAGTTCGTAATCTACAATATTTCGAAGATAATTATTGTCGACACAGTAGTTCGTCCGTAGAGGTTACACTGGTATCCTAAGTGTTCGAATGTTTCAAGTATTCTAAAAGCCAGTCTTCAACACCCTGTCGATACTACTTTGTGCGTTGTGTTTGACGTATAATTCGTATGTGATTGAAATTGTTAAAACCTAAGGTTGAATACTTTTTCAGTGCGCAACTCCGTTGTTAAGCGTGAAGTTTACGCCCCAAAACTACCTGTCCAAACAGCTGCCAGTATGGTGCACGGTGTTTTATATCTGCAGGTGTCAGCTGACCACTTCATTTTTATCCGAGTAAATAAACAGAGAAGCTCCGTAGTACGGTATGCACTACGAACAAAATGTTTTCTTGTTTTCGAAAAAAATGTGTAAATTGTGCAAGAATATATTTAACAAAATTTGGTGATCTGAAAATATTACACTGCTCTACGACTCAAGGAATTCTAGAGAGCTGCATGATAAATGAGCAAAGATTCTTGCTCTCCGGAGAGCGAGAATTAGCTGTAAATCTCCAGGAGAGCGAATTTTATTTCCTTTCTTGATTAGAGAGATTGAGGAATATCACTCTATTTGAGTAATAATTGGGAAACGTCGCTCTTTTTGAGTGAGGATTCCAGTCCAGAATACCATAATTTGAGCGAGATTTTAGAACCAATCTCAATAAGGGCGAGGTTAAGCCATCATTTAAATGCACTGTTAAAGTCTTACGAAGAAAAATGCCAAATCCTTTGTAATACGAAGGATTTGGACGCTTCGTAGGGAGCAAATGCTTCGTAGGTACGAAGCATTTGGCATTTTGCTTCGTAAGACTTTAACTGTGTGGAGAGCAAAGAAAAGAAATTTCACTCTCTTTAGGTCAGACATCTCACTACAGTATTTGCAGTGCTGGCCTTTCTTAAAAAACGCGAACATTATTTTTCTAGAAATGTAGTAACACAGAAATTGCGCGGACCATGACATGAATTACCGAAATAGGCCAGGAAAGGCGAGTCACAAACTAATGTGTTAAAAACCGAAGTGTTTACTTGAATGCAGAACCTCCTCATGCATACCTACATGTATACATGAGGTACAGTACTGCATTAAAGTACAGACATGGGTTTTCAGAGTGCGAGGATGTGATCATTACAACATCGCCATGTCTCCTTTCCTTCAGTCCCTAAGAACGCTATCATGACTTCATGCCCCCTGATATCAATCAGAGGGGGAGGGGGAGTGCGCTCATTGTCCTGCTAGCTCTTCCACTCGAAGCACTTCCTCTCTCGGTTAATAAAAGATAGCATGGGCAACGGCAGGCTCAAACGAATTGCCGATACGCAATGCATCGAATAATCAAAAGAAACACAACGCACCGAGTTTATCAGCCAGCATGTGACTCAGGCGACTTAGCGGTCAAGGACGGACACGTTTCACAGTGTCTGTATAGTTATCAACGAGAGATTAAACAGGCAAACACGGTTAAGAAACAGCACCCCCCCCCCCCAAAAAAAATAAAAATAAAATATAATCAAAAATCCCCAGCATGTAATGAGTCACCTATACACTGCAAGCACACCGGTCACAAATTATAATAAGTTTTGAGAGGAGATATTGAAAAATTTGTGAGGCGTGACTCGTTTTCATGGTGACGCCCTCGTTAGCCCCCGACCGCCCGCGACCCCCCTCTGCCCAACTTTCATTTCCTCCCTTTGAGACTCGCTGAGGACTCGGTCTCCTCCCGTTGTTCACTCACTCGACTTCCCATGGGATTCCGTTCCGCTAAGACTGACCCGGCGGGGCTTGGCCAGGCCGACCCCACGGGCCGCCAGCAAGACCCGACTGGTGGTGGCGGGCCGCTCAGGTCACCAGTCACCAGTCACCTGGTCACCGCACTGACTATAGGAACGGAGGGTTATTTAAACGACTTTTAAGGTAGCAAAAATGCCAAACTAAACATTCGTTCGAAGAGTAGTGTAAGCGACTTTTTGAAAAAGGGCAGTCACTCAACAACCCTCCACTCTTGCTCGTAATTTGATCCCATGTCGACACGCAGTGCTCATGAATTTTACAATTTTGAATTTTAATCGTACATCTTCCATGGAAAATACAAGGTGGTCCCCCGACCCCTTGTATTCTGATTGTTGCTCCAATCTCGTGCATGCTTTGCGTCGTTGTGCAAGTCCACGCAAGTCGCTTTCAAAATTACTCCGGCAGACTGGGCTCCTTTTGGCGCCACCGCCGGGCCGATTCAAAAGGGGGTCCCGCAACGCCAACAGATTGGCGTATCCGGCGGGGCGGGGCGGGGCGAGGGTACTGTCCCGGGACCATTCTCATACGGGGGGGACTCCACAATTATCCCCTGGGACGGCCGGCCGCCGGCCCGGGCGGACGGCAACAATTTTGGCTGAGATTTTCGCTTTTGACACTACTTCACATGCTTTCTTTGCATTTAAACCGCATCAAAAACAGACACCGACCGCGACAGCGTTAACACGCGAAATGGATCAGAAACCCTGGCGCACGAGGAGATTGGAGGGATGTGATGACCAAGGTTTATGGGGTCATTTCTCAACTTTCAGGGGTGCTACGCCACTAGTGACTTTGTAAAGGCATCGAAGGTTCAAGAAGAGCACCATCGGGGGACAGTGGCGCCTCCTGTAGGCACTACTTGACTAACGCCTTTAAATGGCATTAGATACCACTTTTATTTTTCAGAGCAGTGTTTTCATTTTTACACAGAGGGCCGACAGGCAGCGGAATATTCAGCAGACCTTTATTAGAATCAAGAACACACAAGCATCTTTATTGAGCCAACGGAAGAAATGCACATTGCAGTTTATCATTCTCACCAGGACCGCAGAAACAAGAGGCTCGTTTCTGATTCTGTTCTCGCATTCAGAGGAATAATATATGTACTATGGCTGTTCAAGAAAGAAACTCTCTTGTGACGCTCGCGCGTGCAAATCACCGAGAAGAACGCGCGGCTCCGAAAAAAAATAAAAAAGACTTCTCGAATTAACGTAATTTCTTTCCTCTTTTCCTCACTGGCCCCTGGCGGGCCCCCGCCGGGCCTGCAAAGACATTTTTACTTCCGGAGGTGGGCCGGGCCCGGCCAGCCGCGTCCCCTCCGCACCGTGCTCCGCACCCACCAGTGGGCCCACCGCCCGAGCCAGCCAAGCGGCTACTTGATTGATGCGCGCTGTGCGTCCGAGATTGTCCGACCGTCTTATGCCGTCTGCCCTTCCGTGCGCACGCCTCCTCTAAGAGACAGCTGTTCAGTGTCGCCTCCCGGCAAGGGGCAGGGTATTCCACCGATAGCCGACGGCCGACGATGTAGAGGCCAGGCAAGGCCCGATGAAGTAATAGTTGACACTGATAAACCAAGTAGATACTTTGATCAGCGTGCGTGGATATAAGTGTGCAACTGCTAGTCGAATACGTACTTGCACGTGTTTAACTGCATAGTAGTACACTTGGAAGTACATATTCTCGGGAGTGCTACACTTATAGATGTGCAGCTAGTAAGCACCCTCTCTAAAAAGGTGTTCAACAGAAAATTTGCACACTTCCAAATAAGCTGCCAAGTTGAACACATACAAGTAGTGTCCAGCTACGGAGTTGTAAGTATTCGACTAGCAGTAGCAAACCTACAAGTGTTAAGCAGTTGCACACTTAAGGTTTAGAGCACTTAGAGGTTGCCACGGGTTGCCAGCAGATTGCTACATAGAAGTAATTAATGTGACAAGCTGAGCAGGGCCATACCCGTGCGTCCCGGTTCGTCCCCACAGCCCCACTTCGCGTCGGACCCACCGTGCGTCCCGGTGAGTCACATGACAATGCGTCGATACACGTCCCGCGTACGGTACGGGACGGGCTTACCTAATAACAACAATTAGGAGCAGCAAATTCGGCGTGGGCTGTCCTCCCCCGCCAGGTCCCGCCCCTTAGCATACAGACGGATATGTAGACCGCCCGAGGGGTCCACTTTACAACTCGTAACTCCAGAAAAGCCAGTGTGTTTAAAAATCAAAAATGTTGCACACTCTAGAGGTAAGTCAATATTTTCTCTGTTGAAAATTAGAAGTGCGATTGACTTATTTGCTCGTATGCAAGTGACGGAATGGACATTTGCACCACTTGCGTTTCTCTAAATTACTACACCAGTGAGAATGGTCATTCCCTCTGCAAGACTGTAGGAAACTCGGTAGAGAAGGTGTCGCACATCTAGTACGGTGTAAACTTGGTTACTCTCATATAGGTGTTTGACATTTGTAGCAAGGTGAAAATCCCCAATAATCCGAAGTTGTGGACTACTCTGAAGGGGGGGGGGGGCAGAAATTGACAATTTCATTCATGCGATATTAGCATTTACTCCCTATTCAAACGATGCTATTCAAACATATTTAAGCACAATCACAAATATTCAACTGTACGCGCAACTTCGCACAATCATTTCTCTTTTCCC